TTAAGTATTTGGAAATTATACTAGAACTTCCTGAAAAGGAGTTACTGGAATTATTACATATGCATACAAGCTCTGTTTCCTGAATGGTTTTATAAAAGTTCTTTTTCCTACCATTTTTCTTGGGAATATGGAATGAAAGAATTAAGTACTTACCTCATCCATCATCACCTTCTTTGTAACTTTTTGCACCGAGAAGGGAGATGCTTTCAGAACACCCCTAAAGACACTTTTTCTCTCTGAATGTAGCCATCGAGGAAAACCAACAGAAATCAACTGACACCATGAAGTCAGCATACGAAATTAAGCGACCCCAGAATACTACGCAAAAATCCACCCAGCTAAACGTGACTGTGAGGTTTTAGTGCAGCCATGTAATGCCCCTTTTTAAACTAAAGCCGCGGAAGCCTGATATTTAAAAGTTTTGATTTGCAGCAATAGTCTGGTCCTTGCCCTTAGCACAAGGTTTAACTCTATGCATCAGCTTCAGCTAATGAGGCTCAGAGCACAGGCCACCGACGTTGCCAGGCTTTGCCACTGTTTGAGCTGTTCCCAGTTTGTGACTGACCACAGGTTACACCTGTCTTTAGCTCAGTCAAAACTTTTAACAGGTTCTGACAAACGCTCGGAAGAAAATGTGCTTCTTCACTCCACAGTGGACTGACTGAAGGCAGAACCCTGGAAAGGCAGCTCAATTAGCAGAAAGAACACCTCCAACATCATCCTTCCCTCTAACACCTCACCACAGCTTGCCATTTATTTTTTTTTTTTTTTAAATAATTCCTCCAAACCTCAGCTACATCCAGTCCTTCTTCCCTTTCAGCACTGATCTGTCCAACATTGCACAACTTCCTACCCGTCTCCAACAGCCATGTTTGCTTTTGCTTCTGTACCGGTTTGTTAAAATTTCTTTTTTCCAAGAGGCAAAAGGGAGCTCGTCCTTGTGTATATCCAACAGCCCAAGAGACCCATCACAAAGCAAACAGCACAGGGTATTTTTACCGTTGTAGTTTTCCCATGTGAAATTTTACAGCCCCATAGAGAAATTCTGTCCAATTATTAGTCCCCAAAGCATATCAGCTAGAAACAGAAACCAGTATCCCTCTATCCTGTTACACAGGCTTGAAAGATGAGCAGGATACACCAATTTATCAACCTTTTAAGTGACACACGACACATACAAGGAATCTGTGTAAGCATTTCTTTATTGACTAGCTTTATTGCACATACTTATTGAAGCCTCCATTATTTTACCCACCCAAGGTTTCCATAATTATTTTAAATACAAGTTAAAGATAACTTTCATTCCCATGACTTTTTTTTTTCCCCCCGTTTTAAATTTTAAGGTTCTGGATCACCCAAGAAAGACATAACCCCTGAATTCATACGTGTAGACCATGCGGCATTCAGGGAGCAAGCCAGTGGGTGCTCTGCAAGCATACTGATACTCTGCACAGAGAGAAACATCATTAATCATTAACTTTAAACCTCAGTGGTCACTGAATTAAATATGTGAGACTGCAATTTTAGCTCAGTCAATCATCGTTTATTCTGTTGACCTGATGAGAAGGCTAGACTGCCTAAAAATTAAGCCTTCTTCTTCACTTCACTCTCTTCCTTTCCTGCTGCTTCTTTCTCTTCCTTCTCCTCCTCACCAGTTTCCTCAGTTGTTTCCTGAGCCTCCTCCCCTTCTTCAGCTGCTGTTTCTTCCCCTTCTCCTTCCTCTTCCTCACCCTCTTTGGCTTCTTCAGATTCTTCTTTAGCACCTTTGAAAGGCAAAAAGTAGTATTTCACACCTGTGTACTGTTTCTCACCCCAGTTTAAGGGGAGCCAGCATACCTGCACCCTTCAACCCCACCTGTTGGGATAACAGCCAGCTAAACGTGATGGGCTGGCAACTGATTTTGCATGAAAGGAGGGAGATTGATCTAGGACTTGCAAGGGAGAACAAGAGAACGACATCACCAACTTGTCCTAGATTTCAGGACTGAAACGCTTTATAGGTATTTTCAAAATCATGGCCTTGATAAACATTGCCTGTGGACTCAGTGCTTTAAGCCTTCTCCAAAGACTTGAGGTCAAAAAGGAATCTTGCCATTGTTCCCCGATTGGGTCTTTAGCCATCATTTCATTGTAATTAATCTTTACACTGATGAACTCCCTGAATAGTTCAGTGGTAACCAATGCATTTCAGGTATGTTGAGCTCTGAAGGATTTAACCTATGCAACTCAAGTTGGGAAAAGCCACTCTGGATAACATTCCTTTTACATTTTCTTTAAAATGTGAGTTTGGTAAATTAATTATGGGGCAGCAGGGAAGTGGCATATACTTTGAACAAGAAAACTACCTAGATGCCAGGCAACAGATACTGCTATCCACTGAAGGGGACATCATCTGATATTCTCATTATCATGAGCTACTCTCTGGGAATTGGTATTTAGTTCAGGATGTCTTTGTTCCTCTTTTTGAGGATGTCTGTACTTAAGTACTGCTTGCTGCCATATGAATGTAACATCACATGCTATTCAAGCATTACCATTCTTGGTTTTGGTAACTTGAATGGAAAACCACCTAGTGATTTCCAAGGGAGTATAATCAGTCCTATAATCTGCCTGAAATTGAACTTTCCTGCTTAAACGCTGTGTGCTGAATCCCCCAATCCTTTGCCCATGTGAGCAGACAATGGGAGCAGTCTAATCGTTAGACTTCATCATCAGGCTTTCTGGGTTTTACTCCATGTGAGCAGGGCGAAGCATGGAAGAGAGGGATTTGAAAGTAACTGTAAGTACCTTCCTCCTCTTCTTCAGCCTCTTCACCTCCTGCTTCTTCCTCACCTTCCTCTTTCTCCTCCTCCTCACCTTCTTCTGCAGGGGCTGCCTTGGCTTCTGCCACTTTAGCAGCCTCAATTGTTTCCTCTATCTCAATCTGCTCTTCCTGGACGTGACTGGAGTAGTACGTGGGGAAGGAACGGGTTGTCATCAGGTAGGAGCTGGACTGGAGACCACTGTAGGCAGATCTGCCGAAGGTCGGGGCAGTCTGGGTGTAGCCACTGGTGATGCTTCCAACACTAGTGAAACTGAGTCGGGTCTCTTCACCTTCCAGCAGTTTCCTAGCAAAAAAAAAACCAAGCAGAAATGGTTATGCTGCAGCAGTGTTCAGCAGATCCAGCCACAGACCAAGCTACTACAATGCTCTGAGCAGCACAAGCCCTAGAGACTGCATACTTAAAAGTGTAAAACCTAGCCCATAATTAATAACCATGTGGCAATGTTACCCTATCTTCTTGGAATAATTTAGAAGCTTGATGTGTGTATTACTGGTGAATTAACACTTTTCCTTGTTAGAAGAAATAACGGGAACAAAACCCTCTTGGATTAGGTTCCTATGGCAGGTGAAGTTAGAGCTGTATTTCGAAGAGAACAGTGCAGATGTAACAATCTGATGTTCAGTTTAGCTATTAGACAATCTTTAGAGCCGCTTTCTCAATATTCCCCCTTGTGGCATTCAGAAAAACTGTTTCAGCACTTGCAATTTCTAACAGTATCTGGGACAAAACATTAAACAGCTACTTAGTAGCAATTCTGCTGTAAAATATTTGCTTTGCAGGACACTGCTTCTGTGAGTTAAAAACAAAGCCTGTTCTTTAAAGCATGCAAGGGATTTCTGATTTTGAGGGCAGAGCCATCGGTATTAGGAAGCTCCACTGATAAAAATCTCTTCACTGTAAGTACACAACAGGTATTTTTATCTGTAAAGACGGAGGACTGAGATCATATGTGGCCGAGCTAAGGGTTCCGTATGCATACATGTACATGCTATTATACTCACTGAAGTTTGTTACACTGAAGATTTTGCTTCAAACAAATATTTTACCTCAAAAGCACTGCTTCTTTCAACAGCAAGACAATGGAGAAGACCTGAACTCTGACAGCTATCTATGAAAATTTCTGCTGAAGGAATGATAAATGTTTTCTCTTCAAGAACGGGAACCTGATCCAAGTTCTGACTTACTAAAACATTCCCCCCATCATACCTATATGCTGCAATTTCGATGTCCAGGGCCATTTTCACATTGAGTAGATCTTGATATTCCTTCAAGTACCGAGCCATTTCACTCTTCGTGGTTCTCAGCTCGTTCTCTAATTTGTTGATTGTATCCTGTTGGAAGCAACAATACTCACAACGTAAAATTCTTAATTCTCCCATGTCTAGCAATAATACCTCGCATGGCATTTCTCCAGTCCCGTTACCTTAACCTTGCTCTAGCAGACAGAGAAAAGGAACAGCTCCAACTCCACTCTAAGCCAAAAAAGGGGTCATTTAGCAGAGCTCACCTTCCTCGACACTGTTTTCCCCCCCCCGTATCTACACCTTATCATTCCATCCCCACTCAATGCCAAGAGCCCGATTTGCTGCTATCCAAGGACTCAAGCGTGCATGAAACCCGGTTTGCTTTTAACCTCCGTGTGCTTTTGCTAGTTTTAGCTGACGGGTATCTTCCTTCTGAGGCTGTGGTTACGGCTGAGCGGGTGTAGGGACAGGATGGAGCCCACAGCGCACCCTGCGGCGTCCTGCGCAACCACCCCGCGGTCCAGCCACAT